TTGATACGGCCGTGGAGGAGAAGGGGGAGAGATAGGTTGCCCGTCTCGCGTTGTCTTCGGATAGCCCTTGCAAGAATGTTTACAAATGCCTCCAAAATGCCTTCCATCTCCGCCCCTGGCAGTGCGTCCGAGCATGTTAAGCTGAGATCGCGCGCTGCTGGAAGGATAATGAACTTGAGGAACGCTGCGACGTCACTGATATTGGCCTCCAAATGCAGCGACGTGAGGCGGGAGAGACGGGTTTTCGACGACGGTATCGTTGAGAATTGAGCATGAGGGTCAGAAGGAGACGTCGCGGTGAAAATGGCATCTCTGAGGAAGAAGTCGGTGATGAAGGGTGGCATAGAGACGAGGGCGATCCAGTCGAAGGTGCTGGGCGCTAATTTATGAGTGGTGTCGAGATTGATCACGGTCAATGACGTCAGGGAACGAAGTGCAGGCGTGCCAAAGTCCAAGGTGCAACCTTCGAGTTTCAGCCGCCTCAATTGTGGTGCGCGATTGTCGAATAGATTCCGGGGGAGGATATACCACGGTCGATTCGTCTTAGAAGCACGGAGTGGGGTGTACGCGAGGCTGAGGCATTCGAAGTTCTCTGCAGGCTCTTGCAGCTTCTTCTCGAGAATATCCCAGGTCTCATCTGCGAACCCTAGCCAGTACGTCCGGATCCTTCCAAGGTATCCCATCTCCGAGGAAATGCTGTTCGTCTTGCGCGGTGGGAATGTGCACGAGCCGACCTCGACAGGAAGGGGGTGAGAACGACGTAACATCTCCTCATTCCATCGCCAAGACATATCGTCGAAGTCGGTGAGTTGCACCCAGAGTGACTTCGTAGCAAGTGCAGTGGTCCTCCAGTCGTGGCATACTTGAGAGTAGGCAAGGACAGCGCGCCTGCGGTGGTAGTCCTCGGTTTCGAGGCTGGCACCAAGCAAGAAAAGATATTCGAGGAGGTCTGGGCACAGTTGGAGAGCGGGGAGCAGGCGGTTTTGGAGTCGACACGCGGTAATGTCTCGAGGTTTGGTGAGCGTGGTATTGGGGTGGGTTCGAAGGAGAGCAGGCATCGTGGTCAAAGAGCAAGACGCCAGCCCAACAGGGTTTTTATCGCGGCCCCGCCTGCGAAAGGAGAGACAGGAAGAACGGAGTGTCCGAGAAGGTTGGGATCGCGACTAGGCTATGCTCTGGTCCATGTGAACGCTCGGACCTCTGCAACAACTCTGGAACAGGTCAGCGAGGGTATCGAACGCCCCAATATGGGAAAAGGGCCGCGAGGAGAGCATCTCATAAGTGCGTGGGTCGTTGTATCGAAGAGAGCAGCGAGCAGTGGATCCGGAGCAGAAATAGGGGCGTTTACCCAGAGTAAAACTTATCAAGAGAATCACATGCTTCTCGTTCGCGGCCATTTTTACGGCAGTGTTTCTTACCTGAGTCCCGAGTCCATGTTATTCAGTTTGCGTCATAACTAATGTCGTCAGAATAGATAGATATTGTGAGGGATGAAATGTCCGAATCTAATTTCGAGGGTCTGAGGCCGTAAGGAATGATTGAACTGGCAAAGTGGACCCACAACCCGTGGGAACGCAGGCTTAAGCGGACTTCAAAGCACCAGAGGCCCAGAGCGTTTTTTAGCTAGTCAATTCATTGCCATCCCATAATTGCTCTTCCGTTCGTGTCTCCCCGGTCACATTTTATTGACACTCGATTTACAATGGGACTTCCGATTACGCGTCTCTCTCCAAAGATAAGACTGTATCGCGGACCGAAAACGTGCTTCGAGATGAAGACTTTTCTTTTGGCCGGCATCAAAGGGTTGGACCAATCTCGTTTCAATTTGTCTGGACATAAAAAATACAGAGCAGCTTTCGGCGTCTGGAACGAATAGGTGGTTACGAAAAATACACAAATAAACCAGTTATTTAACGACGGGAGGAACAGCGAAAGTGACTGGACGCGGTGCAGGAGGAGCAATCTCGTCTTTTTCAGAGACGCTTTCGAGGCCAAAACGAGAGCGGCGCGGGGTGCCTACGCTGCTCATATCATGGGGGAGCGCATTGAGATAGGAGTTGACTCTGTTGTAGCTGTTGCACGTGCGATACGAGATGGAGCCTGTCTCTGTGGCTAGGATCCCCGGCAGTGGCTTTGAGCGGAGGGCACTGTCAAATCGCTCGGGGTGGCCTATGCGAACGGCAAGTCAAAAACTCGAGTAACATCGCAGACGAGCTGTAGAGCGCACCAGCCTTCCTCTCTACGTCCATCTTCGCCCGACGACGACGTCGCACCATCACGACAATCAGCACGAGGAGGAGCAGCCCAACAATACTCCCAATAACAGCGCCCACAATCACTTCTACAGGTGTGTTACTTGATAGCCTCTGTTTGAAATCCCCTATCGTGCGCTTAAGTAGGATCTATAGGTCAGCTACAGCTGGGAAACTTACTGTCTCCTTCAGCAGACTTTTCCTTTTTCGAAAAACGATTCTTCGCGCCGGGCCCTGAGGATGTTTCATTCTTCACGGTCACCGAATCCAGAAAATATCTGCCGTCATTCGTCACGTTGATCAACAACGTGTGCAGACCGGGCGTTAGTTCAGGCGATTCAAAGAATTTCGCATTGTAATCGGTCTTCTCCGGCACTGCTGGGGCGAATCTGAATAGCGTGGTGCTGTTTCCATCGGGGTCGATTACGTAGGTAGACACTGGGTGCGACCTTTGTCTCCCAGGATATATAACCCCGTAGACAGTTATCGAGGTCCCTATAATAAGAGGTGAATTTAAGGGTCATCTTTCTACCGACATTGACAACGTACCGTTGAATATTACTTTAACCGTGCTTCCAGCGCTTCGACTCTGAGAAAGGGTACCATTGACCGCACCAGGCTGGTCAACTAAATGATCCCATGTACCGGTGAAGGTTAGGCTCGGGTGTGTGTCGTCGAGCTCCATGGTAAGAAAATGAAGAGGAAAATAATGGTGGAACGAAGATGGACGGGGTTGTTCGATATGCTGGGCAGATCCTTTTAAGTGACTTGTATTTGGGGTGATTGTAACATGACAGGTCTCTTGCAAACCCCTTCGATGTGGTTGTTCAATCTATTAATATTTAATCATCTGGATGTCATCGACGAATGGAGCCCGTCGCTAATCCTTAATTGACGAGCAGATCACCTCCTAGACTTCGATTCATGATTTTAATGATCTTCAATAGGATTTGCAGGGCTCGCGTCGTGGTTCCTCATTCGCTCCAACGGTTAACTATTAGCAAGAATGAATCAGTTGAAACACCGGGTTGAAGAAGTCGCTGCCAGTGTATACTGCGTTATTACAAGGGTGCCTTTCTGTATCGTATTACGCTAGGACCGCCTCTCATTGATAGATGGCGTCAAAGATCGTCATGGGTTGTTGAGGTGCGATGAACACTCCAATCAATACTCCTATATTCTGACGGAATGGAACGACCAGTGGCATCGCCTCAGTTGCGGGAGTGGTCATCAGTGGAATACTAGAATCGTGCTCCGAGTGCTCGAGTGGATTACGAATTCAACATCTCTTTGGTTAACTTATTTGCCAGGATCTTGGAAGTGAGATGACTCTTCCTTCGTTCATCCTGATTTTAGTAGCTCCTCGACGACAGCTAACTCAATTCATTCTACAGTGGGGAACGAGGAATTGACGAGGAAGCATGCGGGAGCGGCGATTCCGGAAAATAGTAAATATTCACACGGGTTCGTTTCGATGTTCCTCACCGTCACTGCTCCTCGACAACTACTAGCGCACTCCATTTCTAGTCATGGTGTTTTTGATTTCTCAAAGAACCGCGAATATGATTGCCTCCTCCGATCGCCACAACACTGACTCTCCTGCGAAAGGGGAAAACGACCAATCGATACAGGACTATGTACATCGATGTACCTCTGCATTGCCAAAGTTGTCTACGTCCTCCTCAGAGCACCATCGTGGGTACTCTGCCTCTCGTTCCATCTGTTATTACTCACCACTTACACGCTAATTTTACAGAAGGGCTACTTCGCAGGCTATGCTACGAGATTTATCGATGGCGGGGATGGGCGGATGTAGCGAGGATTCCTCAGGTATCTATCTTCCTTTGTTCTATCTTTGACCCCGTCCAAATATTCGCACTCTCACCCTCGTACGGAGCGCTATTGACGGGTGTCTGGCTACTACCCCATTCCTGGAGCCCTCCGTTTCTCCGTTTCATTTCATAATCACGGTACTGATTCTGCGATTTCGCGTCTAGGTTCGGCTCCTGAATATTTGAATGCTAGTCGACTTCGTCAAGAACTCTCGCCCATACCCCTCCTGCGTACCTCGTCTATCCAGGCGCACCACCCGTACTCAGCAACTCATTGGCAGAACGTCCGGCACTATCGAAGAAATATATGCCCAACTTCAATCCCATCTCAAGGCTTTTCCTTCATCTTGTGCTGCGACGTGGAGCTCAGCATAGCGCACAACACCCTCTTTCCAGCAGAACGGAACCTCTTCTCGGTTTATGTTGGCGGCGTTGGACGGTGATGGAGCAGGCCCGAGGGCAGGGGACGGCGGTCGAAGAGCAATCTTCCCAGTTTCGAACTGGAGAGTATCTTGTACGTGCCGTATGCTCAGGTTCTCGTCGGCACTGTTTCTAAGACTCGATTTTCTTTTAGATTCAAATCCTTACGCGTCGCCCGCCCCAACACCATCTCCCGACATCCATATATCGACGTCGACGCAGGAAGATTGTCTTTCAAGCTCCAAGCTTCATGGGTCACGTAGATCGATATCTATCCAGGACGCACTACCAACCTCACTTGTCAACCCACCACCAGCTGGGCCGTGCAATGACCAACCAACTCTGATTTTGCTCGTCCTCTTCATCGAGCGAATCGAGCCTAACTCCGAACGGTGGAAGATTCGATGGAGCGGGGTGTCAAGGCCACTCTGCGAGTGTTGCAATATTGATAACGGGGCGGTGGCTGTCTTCACCTCTATGTTCAAAAAATTGTTTTGGTAAGTAATCCTCTCCGTTCTGCCTTCTCGTTGACGTCTATCTCGTGATGTTTCTCGGCGCTGGAGTCCATCTTTGACTTTTCCTTCATCCTTTCTCATCACTCTTTCGTCCACTTTCGCTTTCGCTTTCTCTCATGTTTCGCGTTTGAGATTGTTCTTACATTTTCTATTGCCTCCTTTTGTTAGATTCTCAGCGCGGACAGACCGCCCAACCCGACCTCCATCAGCCTCTGCATCAACAGCGGCATACCTTCATTCAAGCACCCTCTGTCCACTTCAACCTCGTACAGCCCACTCAACATCTTTTTCAGCCCCCAGAAAGGCGCCAACGACTTGCTCTGGCTGTCATCAATCCTCCTCAGATGCCTCCGCCAACGTGGTTGCGACTCAAACACTTGATCAATCCGTCATCGAATGAGGATCGGCGGTCGGCGCTAATTCGGAGAAGATGGCACGATGAAGATCTCCAAGGACAACGGTGCCGTGGGTGCTAAGGCAGAGCAGGGGCAGGAGCAGGACGGTCGACGGAGGATGGAAGATTGCTTTTGCTGAGTCTATGCGAGGTCTGGCTCGGGATTTCAATGGTACGTCTCGTTTTTCTTTGTTCCGCGCTCTCGTTGCTTTTATTTCAATTCTTCCTTTCATCCTTCTTGGATCACGTGTATTTCTCTTTACGCCGCCGTTCATTTTTGGTCCTTATCGGTGCTAACCTCGCCTTTCCTTACATTTTAGAACGTCAACCTCGACTGTGGCACGCGGGCCAATGTACGAAATTGACCTCGATGTCCGAACGTTCACCTTGGTAGGTCCTCCTCTCCGTTGTGCCTTTTCATCGGTGTCGATGTCCTCCGCTCCTCTTCCTTCCTTGACTCTCTGTTCGTCTGCGGTTTCTCTGTTCGTTCTCTATCACGGCTTCTTCATTTTCATTTTCACTTTCGCTTTTACCCTATTTCGCGTTTGAGATCGTCCTGATGTCCCTATCTTCGTTCTTTAGATCCTCAAAATAGTCAGGAAGCACGCGAAGTTCAGTGTTTCGCTGCAGCGGTGTTATTTAATCATCGACATTACCCGATCCGACGATGACGCATACACAACCTAGCGTACCACCAACGCCGCCCTTCTCGCCTCCGGCTTACCGAACCTCTCTTCCAGTACCCAAGATGCGCCAACAACATGGGCCAGCTACACCATCAAGCCTCCTCAGACGCCGCCGCCAATATATTTACGACCCAAGACCTTGATCGAAACATCATCGATCGAGGATCGGCTGTAGGAGCTGATTCGGAGAAGATGGGATGACAAAGACCTCTAAGGACGGCAGCCCATTGGTGGGCAAAGGATGAGAAGAAGGAGGGGGTCAGCGGATGACGGAATATGGAATATGGAAGACGGAAGATCAGTTTTAGGGGGTCTGGCTCCATTTTTGCGTGGTACGTGTCGTGTCCTTCACTTCGCTCTAGTTGGTTGTTTTATCCATATGAGCATTCCGCTTTTTTGCTATATCCAGCATGGAGACCCTCTACTCTACTTTTCCACTTTTATTTTTGTGACTCGTATCGTTGCTATTGCTAACCCCGCTGTTTCTTTCTTATTTCCTCCTAGATCGTCAACCGTCCTGCCTGTACACCCACGTGAGCCCTCCGCCACTGTCGATGTCGGGGGCAACCTCGTTTAATCACAGCACGCGTGGTTTATAGCACAAAGGCACCAAGCGGCACCATCCTACTCCTGCTCTCTCCATTGCCAGCCGCATCTTGCTGGCACCTTATACCCTACCACGTTTGAGAGACTCATCAACGTACTCCAAAATGAACCACCATTTACCTGGAACTCAAACATCTCTTCCGCCCTCGTGCACGAGTTCAGTGTTCAACGTGCGAAGTTGTGCTCGGCGTCTTGTCCTCTCGGTGGAGCTCGGGTGGGTGAGCTTTCTCCGATGGCCAGGATGGCAATGAATGGAGGTGGTGTCACCGGAGCCGCCTCCGGCGTTGTTACACCTATGCCTTCAAGTCAACCGCAATGACTTCGTCCTTGGTTAACGTCCGCAAGTCTTTAGGCCTAGGTGCCGGAGGTGTCTCAGACGGTTATGAGAACTCGCGTACGTTGTGCAAGTAGCGAAGCACCTGGGCATATGGTATCCTTGTGGTCCAGCCTGCGTCTTTTCGGCCCAGGATCCGAGTCCGGATGGGTCGATGGTAAGACGGGTCTTCGTGCTCGTCTTCCAGGATTCGGTTGTATTTGAGCTGGAGAGTTCGCGGTTGGTTTGTGGTTTGTAGGCAAAGGAAAAGCCGCCAATACGCTCGACGTTTTCGAGTCGAACGTTTAATTGTGCGGGCCTACGAAGGCCCAAGACATAGGATGGGACGTAATCGAGGATGTTTAGGTGTAAGGGATTTCTTTCCTTCTGGACGGCCGACGTCGGGTATATGTCGTGCGTTGGCTGAGGCGCCAACGGAGCTTCAACTGTCTCTTCATCTGTCTTTGTCCGCCATCAGCTCTTCGTCGTGCTTGAGCTCGTTTCTATCCTTTCAATTTAGTTTCTTTGTTCTGCACGCTGCTCTAAATTCCTTCATCAAAATTTCTTTTGTCATTTTTTCGTTCTGGCCGGCCATGAAAATTCCAAGATGTCCCACCCGCTCTTGCCCCCTTCTCATATCGTACATTGGACAACGATTCGCATATTGAGTCCCTAAGTTGCTCTATCCTTCCTAGCCTAACGAGTATGTAGGTGTTAACATGCCGGAACGAGGGGACAGTTGATAAGTTGGCCAGGCCGAGAGAGACGAGCCAGTGTATAAAGAGGAAATAGACCTTCGGGAGGCTTCGTCTGTATGGAAATGAATAAATGGGTGTGGGGCGCAGACGGAATTCGGAGTTAACCAATTGTGTGAAAGGAATTGCTGGGAGGTTGATGCACAGCACCGTTTTGCAGCGGCTGTGCCTGTCATTTAGACCATGAGTCAAACACGGCCTCAAGGCACCCTCTGCATTCCGTATCTTTGCCGGCACTAACCACCTCACATTCATACCTTTCTCTCATGTTTCAGAGCGCGCGGAATCTGTCTATCAACGGAGGAGCCTTCTACAACGTCAATGGAAACTTATATCAGCTCCAGGAGGATGTTGGTTCAAAAGGTGAGCGACGTTCGCGCAACCGGCAAAGAACCTATCCCTAGTGAAATTCATTATGCAGGCATCGACCGGCTTGAACTTCACATAGCACCAGAGGCATTCCACAACTCCGAGGAAAGATACGACCCTCCAAAGTGCCACCCTCTGACGCGTCGAAGAATTCTTGAGAAACTAACCTCATGGATCGAAGAGATGGCCCAAGAAGAGTTCCGCACTTTCTGGCTCTACGGGTCTGCAGGAGTCGGAAAGTCAGCCATCATGCAGACGATCGCCGAGTTGTACCATGCGAGGGGCCTTTTGCTTGCAAGCTTTTTCTTCTCCAGGACGTCGACCACAAGGAATAATCGCTCTCGACTTATCCCCACACTTTCCTATCAGCTCGCCCTCTCTTCACCTCTCCTCAAAGAACATATCAACCTAACAATCGCAAACGATCCGACCATTTTCGAGCGCTCGCTTGACGTTCAAATCCAGTCGCTGCTGGTAGGACCCTTGTTGGAAGCCTATGAACGTCAGGGATCGAATAGTAATTGCCAACTCATTATCATCGACGGTCTGGATGAATGCTCGACCGCCGATGATCAGTGCTACATCCTTCACGGGTTGACAGAGGCTTTCCGTCATCCCCCGCTAGGGATAAGCCTCATGATCGCAAGTCGGCCTGAGCAGCGTATCCTCACAGCGTTCCACTGCGGCACGCTCCAAACGCGATCGCAGCGCCTATCACTGGATAATCACTCGCTGCTGTCTGAGGCCTTCATCGACATCGAAGTCTTCCTCAGACATAAATTTCAGGAGATTAAGATGTCACACCCTCTCCGTGCTTATATCCCTCCCGAATGGCCTCTGAATTCCTATGTCGGGATTATCCTCGAAAAGGCTGCTCATCATTTCATCTTTGTGGCGACTGTTATTCGCTTCGTTGGGTGCCCAAGGCATCGGCCGGCACCACGACTTCAGGCAATCTGCGATGCGTCGATCAAGACGGAAGAAACCCCCTTTGCAGAATTGGACACCTTGTATTCAACAATCCTTGCGTGCGTCGAGAATATCAAGCCAGTGATCGAGGTATTGGGCATGCTCATTTTCGGCACAACGCCCAAGAGCATATCTTTTATTTCGACATTTCTCGGGTATACTCCCGAAGAGGTGCGAGGTTATCTCATGGACATGAGCTCGCTGATCGACCTCGATGTCCCTGATGACGCGGAGCTCAGAATATTCCATGCATCGTTCTCGGACTTCCTGACGGACAAGAGGCGTTCGAAACAGTATTACATTGACCACGGCTTGGTCCATGCCCATCTTGCGAAGCTCTGCCTTCAACATTGCGATCTCCGTCGCCAAACGGAACTCATGGTCTCAGGCGACGTGGAAAAGCTTCAGTCCACTCCAGTGAGCTGGCGTAAGTCCCATGGATTCTCAGACGGCGCCGCCTGCTTAATTACTGCCCCAGAAAATCAGTCATACGCCCGTCACAGCCTACTGCACCATTTTGTCAGCGCTGTTCCCACTAGAGAGCTACGATAACAATTTGACCAGTTTGACGCTACGTCGGTGCTCATTTTTAACGGTCAGCCTATGTTTGCGGGAATCAGTTGGCGCTTCTTTTACTCCATCATGGAGCAAATCCGGAAATCGGTCGGTGCTCTCAATTTACTTGACTAAATGCCATAACATGGGTTGAAATGAATTTCAAGTAGATCTTTCCAGAGGCAAAGGCGACATTCACCCTGCAACTACGCTATTTTGATAATTATCTGAGGCCCAGGTTAGTCATCTACCATTCGGATGCGCGTCTAAAGGACCTCGTGGCATTCACGACATGTCACCTCATGAATCATTTTGAGGGTTCTGGTGTTGTCCCGGGAGGGGTAGATCTCTTTCTCTGGGCCAAAGCGGTTCTAAATCTTACGCAAGATTTACGAAACAAGGATGCTCAATCCCTGCATCTTTTGTCCTTCTCAATTCTGGGCACCGTTAGTGTTACATCCGATGCTGGGAGTAAATCTCATTTGGGAACCTTCCTCTGCGACCGGGCACGCGCCGGAGAGTTCTGGGTCAACGGAGAGAGGTATGCCTCACTCGCGCTTAGGTTCGCAAAACAGCTATGTGAACCTAGCGTCAGAAATAAATGGTTAATCAGCGATCATGGGAAGCATAGCATAGGCCTGCGTCTTTTCGTCTTCCTACTCTCACGATCGTCCTACTCCCCCGAGCTGAAGGAGTATCTTACCTCACACCGCCTCGTCTTTGACGACTCAGTCGAATTCTCACACGCTGTTCACGCAATTCTGGCGTATCTGGAACTCTCGCCGCCGACTATATCTTCGAATCCTTGAAGGGCTATACCAAAGTCCCTTCCTATGCATCCTCATCCGGCCCACTCCCCCATTCGCCGTATCCGAACCCCCCGAATAGGTCGGGTCCGACCAGACACCCGGCCAACATCGACCTCAACCGTCAGCTACTGCGTACCCTCAAGACGAAGGCACAGAAATCCGTCCGTTGTCCCACAATTAGCATTCGGCCAGTGGTCCATATGGCACGTTTGCGCCGTCGATAACGGGTGTCACTGATGCAAGCTGCAGAGTTGGCAGGAAAATCCGCCATGGAGGCGAGGAGCGAAAGGCAGATTCTGATTGACGACTGGCTGGGACAAGAAGACAGAATTAAAGCTCCCTTACGACCCTAGGCAGTCAGGCGGTAGGTTGCCTATTGCGCATTATCATGTTCCGAGATACCGCGGTTGGTTAGTGGGGGAGCTTGAAGCCAGGAGAATAGCATATAGGTACACCCGAGCTCCTGAGGGCTCTCGCCCCCTTGCCCCTCTCCCGTCCGACTTTTCTCCTCTCGTGGAGAGGATCGGGTTCGATGAAGGTTAGTGACGTGATGAGCAGCTTCGTGGACGTGTCTTGCCATTCAAGTAGCTGGGGTTGGGTGATGAGACAAGAATATTGTTGGCGGAGGAGAGGCCGTCTATCTAGTTTGACGAAGCGACTTTGCACTGGGCCGTAGAACTGGAGAGAGAACAGGATATCTAAACGGAAAGGAACAGATCAGCCCAGAAAACAAAAAGAGGAGCATAATGAAGGGGCGGGGAGAAGATGAACAGAGACGTACCAGACGAAGTAACAGGATCGGGGTCTCATCGCCGCCAAAACCACCGCCCACCGTAAAATGCTTGTGCCGATTTCCCTCGGTCCCATCCCACCACACGTCATCGGTCTTCGCGGACTCCCAGCCTCTCACATTCTACTCAAACGTCAAGTGCGCGAGGAACTGATCTTCTGCTTGCGAACCCCGAGCTCGAAGTCGACACCGCCCAAGGGGCATGGCACAATCACAGAGGTTCGGCACAACGTTAACGAACGCCGGGCTGAAGTCTTCAGTAGACATTCCGAGGGCCATAGCTCGGTCTGGCAGGCATGGCGAAATCAAATACTCTATCGCGATGGTGGCGTCTCGGCGGAGGTGCGTGCTAGCGAGGACGGCTGACTCGATGGTCCATCTGCACTGAATGAAGTTTGGCCTTCTGCTCGAGAATGGTATGGAATGAACGTTGAACCTTGATCCATCACCCGCACGAAAGCTGATGCTGATATTGATTACGGCCTTTGAACATGCCAGCGAATCATTGGGCCTTAAGGGCGTAAAATGCCGGGAAGACATGATTGACGATGGAGAGAACACTCGGAGGGTCGTGCAGGGTGTCTTTATGGTTTTTGTGAGATTCGGCAGTACGCTTGCATCGGAGCTCGCCAAGAGTGTTTACGGGTTGGGATTGAATGTTGAGGTTCTAAAACAGAAAGAAAGGGTGGGTTAGCACCATTGCAGACCAGAGCCAACGACACTGAAGGATAGAGCTGAGCGAAAGGATGCATACCGGGCTAAGTCTCCTGAAGAAAGACAAAGAAATCCTCTCTCAACCCAGAACTCCTCCATCATAGGACCAACGCGACCGTCATCTTGAAAGCTCTTCGTCATCCAATCCTCTCCGACCCATCGACAACTAGCACCAACTTCGCAACTGGAACTGCGTACAGCTCGTCCTCCGGTCCTCGATCGATGGTGGATCGATACCATGCTCGAGGTAGCACTATGCTCGTTCCATTGTGTGGGGAGTGGATGAGGCGGCACGTCGTTGGCGCATTTTGGGTGCTGGAAAAGAGGCCTGGGAGGCGGAAGAGACGACAGACGATGTCGGGGGTTGGCGGTCGAGCTGGGCAGAGAGGTGCTTGGATAAAGGTACGCCGCTGTTGATCGCGCAGCCGCCGTAGGAAATTGAATTTGGTGGCTTGTCTACGTTGAGGATCCAAAGAACAAAAGAAATAGGAATGTCAGAGTGATCCAAAACACGAAAAAGGAGAGACGGAAGAGAAAGTGGATAACGAAGCAATCAGAACAGTCAAGGGAGGGGCGAACGCAGGGTAGAGAAAAGGAAGTAGAAAGCAGCACGAAATGGACGCCAACGAAGAGTATACGTACCGGCCACCAATCAAGACAGGGCTTGAGGCAAAGATCCCATTGCTATGTCGATGTCGACGTCGCACTACCCATACTCTTCCACAGACGTTCGTTGCCCTTTCGTCCCACCAACTACCGTTGGGACCGATTCACGTCATCGTACCAACTCCTGGGACGTTGAATGTCGATCTGGGCTGGTCCGATCTACACCGATGGCCTCTCGCCGGGGTGGGCAGATGTCAGGTGCTTCCCTGGTTATGCACTAAGATGGGTGGACGAGCCCAATCCTTCCGACATTGACCTTGGTATCTATGTAACTTGAGGTTGGAGGGTGGGCGTGTAAGAAGCAGGACGGAGAAGCAAAAGAGTTCTGTTATGCTGGCGAGAAATGGGCCTAGAGAACCTCAAGGTTAGGATGGGGCGAAGGGGATGATTTATGGAATGAGGGTACGTACTAGCAAGTATTGAACTGGATGCTTACGAGCTCGCGATTCGAAGGCCCAAATTCGCAATGAATGCATCGTTCCACAAAGATCCCTCGGATTTTCGCCCCTTCAAAGGCGTTTCATCACCGTCCGATATCGTTCTCCCTACTGCCATACGCGCTCCAGGCTTTCCAGACGCCTTTTCGCAACACCCTATGCCCGCATTCTGCAAGAAGGTGTACCCGGCTTAATGACGCGGCGCAGAGGAGAGGGGTGACAAGCTTGGGGTAGTGCATGGTGTTTGCTGAGGTGATCCTTCTTCGAAGGGTAGGGTGGTCGGTCTCGCGAGACCATGTGGGAAGCACCTGCGCGGGTGTTTTGGGGTCAATACGTCGTGTGTTACGCGTATGCCTTAGACGATTCGGCGGGCTGGACCTGGAATCGCAAAATCAGAACAGTTGTCATGAGACGATGAGACAGTGGGTGGTCGAGATGGTGTAGTACAGCGCTGTGCGGTAGCTCCTGTGCGTTGAGCTCGATACGAAGCCCGAAAGGAGGAAATGAAAAGGTCGACAGATTCAATGGAGGGACTGCTCGAGTCAACTGGTCACCGTCGACCAACCAGTGCCGTGGGAATGGCGCGAAGTTTTATCTTATCTTATCGCTTCCGATGTGGAAGTGACCCCAATTCTCGAGCCCATCCCGCGCCACACGAGTCTTCCGGAATCATGACAGCACCCTTGGAATATGTCCACATTCCAAACACAAAACCTTTGTATGCTACTTCAATTTCCGTAAATTTATCCCCTCTTCAACGTCTTGTGTTCTAGATCTGTCAAAAGTTTTCCACACATCCAAATGTCACAGAGAGAAAGGATATGAATGGCTAACCGCCTACAATCGGCGCCCGTGTGCCGAGAAATTTTGAGATTGTGTAAAATGCCAGGTGCTATCAGGCATTGAAAACAGCTCGAGCATTCCTCAAGCCACGTGCAAAAGGCGCATCAATGTCGGTGCCCCGATTTGGATATGCCCCTGAATATAAGCGCCCGCTCTGGTAGCTCCGTTCTACCACGTAAAAAGGGCATTAGGCCCCAAAAAATTCAGATGCATTAACTCCATTTATTCTCGTGCTCGTACGAGGTGAAAGGGTGGCAAGTCAGAAGGAGATTTGGCTACAGGTGTCATAGGAACATCCGAATCCGACGTGTCAATTTGACTAGATCAACTGATTTGATAACTGTGTTCAGATTTTCCATGGCAAATGGTCCATTCAGGCTCTTCGCCTAAACGTTTCTTCAAGGATTCCCTTCGCCCATTACGATTCGCCTGCTCCAACCTGGAGGCGTCTAATCACGTAACCGAATAGAAATGAAATGACACTACGAGAAGTTGACTTAAAAAATGATCTTCGCCAGTCATAATGAATTGGAAGAGCCACGAAATCCTGTAGATTTGGGACTGTATGGCACACCAGCCTGAGCGCCGTCACGTATAATGGAAAAGACCCAGAATCCTTTGGGCACTGAGCCATAGGTTTTCTCGACATCTAGTCTTGAATTAATAGACAAGCACCAGATCCCAAATAAATTTGCGACGACCTCTTGGACACGTTTGTTCAGGGTGGGCGGACCACCGAGGATGTCCTCGCTCAAGATTCGAATGGTCCTACTTATCAGCCTCGAAGCGCACTTACGATTACGCGCTCACGGCACTCCACATGGGGAGATTCTCCATTGGAGGTTCTATTCAACCACGTCCATAGAGAGCCGAATCGATCACCGAGGGCGGTCTCCCTTGTCATTGGTCCGGCCAACTCTATTTTTTCGCGGTGGGAAATGTTCTCCAGGCGATCCACATACGTACCCCCTTTTGCCAACTCTGAAAAGCTTAAAGACATTCAATTGCGCCTCGTGGTCGGTCCTGCGGTCCAGGTCGTCTCCCCTTCTGGATACACCTTCTCCGTCTTTTGTGGGATCCGCGCTGACTGGTGGCGCCATCATTTTCCGAGTATGACGTCGGTATCTTGGCATGTCCCTCAAAATAAGCGCCCAGGATCGAAGTGCATCGTCTCTTTCGTGACGAGGACGTCTTTTCGTTTACTGCAAGTACTATGTCTTCTTTTACTTGGGAAGTATCGCTAACCTGCCCTCCCCATCGTACGCAGTAAGTTCAGCGAACCTATAACTACTCTACCATAGGAACACCCGAAACCGACACGTCAATTTTCCTCGAGCCGCATTATTAGGACTGAATTGTGGGATCTCCCATCAAACGTCGTCCTATGTTACGGTTCTTATTACCGACGCCCATTTTCGAGGACGCCCAGCACCCGAACGCGGTATGGAGGTGAATTGTTTCGCCACTCGGAATTGCCATTTCAGTCTGATGGGGTCCAATCAGTACACCGAATGGGTCCATTTGAAGATGCGTCTTCCCGCTTAGAGTCTGCTGATAGCGTTTCAGTGCAACTTGATATAAAATAGGCATGCGCGGCCGGTGCATAATAATCAGTCGCCGGAACCACGAACTCGGGCCAGAGGATGTCCTCGAGCCAAGATCCCATATATCAAGCGTACAAGCCCCAACGTCCATCCTGCAAGATCACGTATGGAAATCTCTTCATGTGAGATTCCGGAAAAACGTTAGAAGGTAACAACAGAGGCGCGGATCGAGGGAGGAGCGGTCTCTCCCATCATTGGCTCAGCCAACTCTGTTTTTTTACTGTGGGAAACGCGCTCGGGCGACTCCAGGCAATGCAAATGCCCTCTTTCGCTCTTTTGCAAAGCTTGAACGACATTTACATTGGCCTCGAGGCTTGTATTTCTGCGCTCTAGGTAACAGATAAGGAGAGCGACGAAGATGGGTACCCTCTGTGTCTCTTTCTTCCTTTCCTTTTTCCCGCTGGGTACGATTTTTTTCATCGCTTTTCGAGTTCGTGGAGTTCGCTGACTGAGCTTATGTAGAGCGTCTTGCTGCATATCCATCTTTCACCGACGATACGCGCCCGATAGTCGACTAGATATCGACCAATTGCCAAGCCGCGACGATGGCCCATGCACAAGTTCTTCCGATCCCTGTCTTGCTCCGAATCTTCGACCTATGCATGAAAGCCCAGGATCCGTTCCCGGCGCCGAAGGACGACGTTCTTCGCGTCATAACTCACGCCTTTCCCGAGTGGCGACGCGTTGCTCTCGCTTGTCCTTCGCTTTGGACACATATACAGCTGCCACCAGTTCGTTTTCACCATCCTAACAATCTCGTCCAGCTTTTCCAACAATCCGTCGAGCGTAGCTCCGGTCTTCCTGTAACAGTCGAGCTCTACGACGACGTTGGAGCTTTATTACCCGGAGGAAGGACGGCGAAGAGTGTCGAGGACTTCTTGTACGGCGGCGGCGGCATCTCAATTATCGACACCATCCTCCAACCCATCCGCAGGTGCCTTGTCTCCCTTACCTGCCTACTCTGCGGATCCGACATCATCAATTTCCTTCGCCTTCCTTCTGACACATTTCCCGCTCTCGAGTGCGTCTCGATCACATTCATCCACACGCTCGACACTCCGCGCTCGCCGTTTACACAGGACCTCCTCGAGTGCTTGAATTTTACCGTGTTTGAAAGTCACGGCGCGCTCAAAGAAGCCAAGTTCGACATCCTCAACGGCATAAGTCCCCTCGACCTCAAGCTACCATGGGCGCAGCTGACGAAGCTCGATATGAATCGGAACCCAATCTCCCCACTTCTCTTCCTTCGCCTTATGCGCAGAGCGTCTTCCTCCCTCGTCGAAGGTTCTTTCCATGTTGAGTTTCCACGCATCTCGCAACGACCTTTCTACCCTCGATACTTCGACGTGCTCATGCCCCGCCTTACCACCCTCCACCTTAAGCTCGTCAATCCCAGTCTCGACACTTCTTTCTTCTTCTACATCCGCCTACCCCGCCTCCAAGCTCTCCGTATAGAGCAGTACGACGATTACGCCGCGTGGGAGTTGTCGATGTTCGACCCCTTCTTGATGCACTTCAGAAATACCCTCCGCATCCTCGAGTTGGCCGACTTCTCTCCCAGCGCTACAGACTATGCTCCGCCCGTCCGCAAGCGCACTCGGGCCTTACACCAAGAATTGGAGTCTGTCTTCGCCATCCTTTGGCGCCTGGAGGACCTCCGCCTTCCTTCCTCCATCCAAGTCCATGCCATGACCATTGAGAAGCTCGCGGACGGCCGGCTCCTACCTTCATTAACCGAACTGGAGCTCTTCGCCGTCAATGCCGAGCAGATTCTCTGGATGAAGCAGCGGCGTAAGTTCCTCTCGAGGTGCTACCAGCTTCAGCCTGGATCGTCCCGTATGGCAAACGAGATAGGTTCGCGGATCTCTGTCAAGGAATTTAGGCATATGCGGGTGTGGGTCAAGGAGCATGAGGTCGAGCGGATGAGGGAGGCGGCTGAGGCGTTGGGATTGGGCCGGACGCTCTCGATTGCCGGCTTTCGTCTGTAAGGACGTGGTATGGACATGCATATAATTTTGATATTTCTTGCTATACGAGTATCATTAGTTATATGATGATATATCCGTAGAGTCATTTATTTCTTGGAGATAACGAATGTTGAACGGCTTCTCGTTGCCTGTCATTTCGTCGAACCGCATGACGTTCTTTTCATCCATCATCTATTCTCCATGTCTCGTGGCTAGCGATTTAGTTGCAAATTTATTCACTCGCGACGGCGTTCCGTGTAGTTTTGAGTGAAGAAAGGAAGATCATCTAATTATCCGTGACATTGTCCGTCCTTTCTCTTTCCTGCGAAGCAAAATTCCATCCACGAGCATACGGACATGTTGGTCAAACGTTAGTAGGAATACCTACGGTCCTCTTCGACATATTGAAGCTTATCCCTCAGAAATGAAATATGAATTTCCCTCATCTCAACCTGAGGCAATAGCAAGAAAAATCACCAACAGTTGAGAGCCACTAGATCTCAATTCCTCGAAGTAAGAACACGCGAATTGGAGCTGCTAGGCGTAGATCAGGCGAAAAGATAAGATTTCGGGCCAATATAAATTTCGACTTGTTGGGAAATTCGACCTTCCTGCCTACCTGATTCCCCATTCACTGGACGTTCTGTATACAGCTTTGAAAAGCTCTGTAGAGTGTATGTACCTTGCTCGACTTGTGCTCGACATCGATTTGCGAGGCTTGAAAGATAAGATAAGATAAAGCTCCAAGCAGGGATCATTCCCACGGCAACTCATCCACCTTGGCATCGCACTTTCGATGCTGCTCATCCAACGAACGGTTCAGATTTGTTGTACACGGTCCATTTTCTACAACGTCTCCAAAGTCATGCCGACGTCAACCTCACTGACTGGAACTCTCATCGGACTCCCGCAACTCGACCAATCCATTCACCCACTTAGATATCCAACGTATCGCCAACGCCGATGTCGTTGAAGTTTAGCCAGGTAAGATCTCCCCTGTGTTCTCGTTTGGCCTTTCGTTTCTTCGTCTGCCTCGTACTATCTCGACCATCCCTGTGTCATCGTTTCATGAGATCCGTTCTGACTCTATGATTCCAGGTTCGACTCCTCCCGTCCCCTCCTCTCGGCCAGACTGGACATGAAGATACGTCTAGGCACCTCCTACCTCGCCCCGCGAGACCAGCCACGCCATACCCAGTAGCCCAGTGGTAGAAGGTCTACCACCAGCAACGAACACCAAACACCATGTCTTCCCGCCCATCAACCCCAGCTCGCGTCATTCTAAGAAGTGCAGCGCATCTTCATTCCAAAAGACGGACCTGGCATGGCGGAATCAGACATTTGGAGAGGTTGAAGCATACTGTACGAAAGCAAGAACGGGCTGGATCATGACGAAGAGAAGTTGGATGGGGCGAGGGGGGCGAGAAGTGTTGGTGGAACGATGGGGGTTCTAAGCTTCGAGCTCTCATCTCAAGGTTCAGTTTACTAGTACGTGCCTTCTTTTCGTTGGTTTTCCCCTCTTCGCCCGATCCCGACCTCTCGTTCCTTTTCAGTTTTCGGCTCCCATTCTCCTTTGCACAAGTTCTTACGCTCTTCTGTTTCTCTAGATCGGGATTCTCGCACGTCTACTCCCTACATCAAGATACGCCCGCGGATGTCAAGGCTGCCCCTCAGTGCATCACCACGCCCGTGTTTATGTAACAAGCTACTCCCGTCCACCCTCCACGAACGTGTCGCCTTCATCCGCCCCAAGTAACATCGTTCTCCGACTTCGCAACTCCTGCTGCAATGCCGCCTTGGACCCGACGGCGGTACTTAGGTTGCACGGAGTGGGCATCCTACGGTGTTAAGGGCGCATTTCGAGGCGACAGCTCTACTTCTACCTCGGTGTTCGAACATTCGCCTTGGTAAGTAAGCATCCTTTTTGCTGTGCCTTCTCATTGGCATCCATTCGTACTTTTCTTACATTCTTCCTTCGCCCCTGCTTCTCTCATCACTTTTCATTCCCGTTCGCTTTTGTATTATCTCCTTCTCGCGTTTGAGATGGCTCTGAACCCCTATCTCTTTCGTTCTACAGATCCTCAACCTGGATAGACCACCAAATTCAATTTCTACCGTAGGCGGCGTCAACAACGATGTATCTTCAAGCAAGTAGCCTCAGCCCAGCTCAAACCACCGAGAACGCCCGTCGTCTGTCGTCCTCGGCACTACCACCCACCAGCCTCTCTTCCGACACCCAAAATGCGCGCAAGACGTACTGCGTTATCCGCCCTCTTCAAACAACGCAAGAAGCACAACGCCAGCTCGAGCACTTCATCGATCCATCATCGATCCAAGATCGGAAGGATTGCTGTATCTTCCAGCTGGGAGATCGTTGGCGGCGGTCGTAGTGGTCGTAGGGTTGGAGAGGATGGGACGGCGGAAAATCCGAAGGACGACGGCTACTGGTGGTATCGGTGTTGAGGCGGAGGCGGAGGAAAGACGGCTCCGCGTCGAGTGAGGATGGTCGATGGATTCGTCCTTTGGGAGGTCTAGCTCGGTATGTCTCTTTTTGTTGACCTGTCTCTCGTTGGCTGTACCTATGCACGTCATCACCCCACTTTCTTCATATGTCGGGGTTGAAGCTTGAAGACCCTCGCCTCCACCTTTCAACTTCGTCTGTTCTGGTCAGCAACGACGCTAACCCACCTTTTCTTTACATTTTAGAGCTTCAACGTCAACATCAACTTCGGCAAACACACCGACCCATAGAAGCTCGTAACGAACGTCGATGTAGGTGGAGCATCGTTCAAGGCCCACGAGTCGCGGTGTACAAGACTCGCAAACGCCTCCAATAGCGCCTCCTTCACCCTCGTTCTGCTCTCTCCAACGTCAATCAGGCCATGCCGGCACCTTACCACCCCGCGTTTCGACGACTCTCGGCATATTCAGCGTTGAGTTCAACCACCCTTCGCGCTTTCGCTAGCGTACAAAACGTCAAACTTCAACCCTGGGTTCTGTATCATGGGCTATCGTTGGAGCTGGGGCGATCCGAGAACATTCTCGAGCTGAAGTCGAAGCGTCATGTTCATCCGATGGCCAGGATGGGTGGATTGGAATCGCGGCGGTCGACTCCGACGTCGATGCCTCTACTCCTTCAAGCAGAAAACGCGATGTCTTGCTTCATCCTTGACGTCGCCAAGCCCTTAGTCCGCTGAACGAATCTCATGACATGATACGTTCATCAACGTGCCGTCGAAGATCGCAGCACCAACGCCGCCTCGTAAGACTTTGGGCACTCTGGCTCGAGACTCGCGTTGGTTGTCCAAACAGCAAGCACCTACGACCTCGGTGGCTGTACCACGCGGTGTCGACTTCGGGGTTTCGTAGGCAGACGATCAGCCGTCTTAGCAGTCGCCGTTTGAGTAGGATGTCGGATGCTGCGAGGCGGCAAACGCCCAAGGTGTCGGATAGGATAGGATCGAGGACAATCGGGACGACGACTTTAGTGTGGGTGGGCTGTGGTTGGAGCGGCGATGGGAGTTTCTTCCTCTGGTACGTCTTCTAATTCTTGTCTTTCTTTCTCGTCTGTCTGTTCATATCCGCTTGTCCGTCGGTTGCATTAGTTGTTCATCGCCCCCTCCCCTTCATCTCGCTCCTCTTGTTGTTTCTTGGACTAACGTTTTCCTTTCTCCGTCCAGATCTCCTGTTCGCTCCCAACTTCTAAGCATCCTTGATGCTCGAAGATTTACTTCATCTCCAAGCCCAGACTCCGAAAGCTACACCTCCCCTTCTCCTACGTCAACTCATCTTGTCACCAGACCCCAGCTACTTGTATAGCTCCGTCCGCCACTCAGCGCGTTGCGTCGCCAGCTTCAATCTCTTCGTCAAGCCTCTCTAGCTTCTCCGCAAGAGGGCGAACGATGTTCAGCTGACGTAGCGGGGAAAGGTTGGACGGCCGAGGGGCGAGGGTCCTCGGAGGAGCCTGGGCGGGAAATCCCACATCGAGCCTATTTTTCTGGCTATCTAGCGTGGCAGCCTGTCCATGTACCGATACCCAAAAATACGACGTCTAGTGGCATATTCATCAACGTTGAACCAGGCACACTCGCGCCGCGACATAAGTAGAGGGCTCTAGTCTTCGATTTTCACGAATATCTGGTACGTCTGCTCTTCGCTGTGCTTTTCTTTTTCCGCCCGCATCTATCTCTTCACGCTACTGGCTGCTGCCTTCGGCTCTGTTCTATACTCATCTTTTGCTTGGGTTCCTTTTCACCGCCTCGTTGTTCACTTTCGCTTCAGATTAATTTCACCGTTTGAAGCTGGGTTGACACTCATTTATTTCGTTCTTTAGGGTTCCAACCACAATTTTATGCCGCCTCGTCCGAAGACCGTGCATAGGCTCAGCTACAAACCAACGACACACGACATACGCCAACGTCCTGCTACGTCCTCAAGTCTCTTCAGACCCCGTCGCCAACGTAGTTGACCAGTTGACCGGCAGCTGTCGCTGGCGCGGAGGAGATGGAATTCTTGCAGATGGTAATGAATACCGGGTCCGGTTTGGGCAGGAAAGACAGGTCTATACTTCTGTAGGAGGTTACGCTGGAGCTTTGAGTGAGGGTATATTAATGTGTTGATTTGGACAGTCTCGTCGAGTCTTTCGTGAATTGAATGTATTTTTCCTTACACATAAATTAGTGCGCTTTTGATAGGCAATACGAAGTATAAGATATATACCCTCGTCATTTAAACCGATAGTTTGTCCACTTCGCCTTCAAGTCACTCTGAGTCCCGGGCGTAGGTCCAGTAGATCGGATTCACCGTATCAGTTACTAATACCCTCTTCCAGGACCTCGTTGTTCGCCTTATGTATAATTCTCAAACTCGCGATGGAATCCAACGCCCTCAAAGGGACGATTTCTTCGCATCTCGTCAAATCGAGAATGGATACAGGCAATCCGGCCTTGAGTCGTCCTTTGGAAAAGTCGCTGCATGCCAACTCGATATTTTGGTCTCGCCGGGGACTCGGGGCGACTTTACGAGGTACCGTAGATCAGCTTCGGGAATAAGGGTGCTTCACTGGGGTCGTATGGAGTGATCAATTCCAACGTCTGGGCGCTTGTGCAGAGGAGCTCAACATTTGGGAATGCTGGCCGAAAGAAATACCAGATAAGCGGGACAGACGTTTCCGTTATCTTGAGGGAAAGGCCGAGGTTTTCCACGTTGGTTAGATCGCATTCTGAGAGGATCGCGAAGAGCAGGAAGTACTTGTCGACGATTACTGGGTGGCTCTGGAAGGTTCTAAAGTCGATCGCAAGGGGGCGGAGTAGGCTACGAGGGATCGACTCTTGATGAATCCGGAGAACGTGGTTCGAAACGGTGATATAAAGCGAGTGACAATGGGTGTTGTGCTCGAACCAATTCCGCGCGTATCTGGCCAGCGTGTTCTGGAAGTGCTCTGCTTCGACGGAATCCTTGAATGACGGGTCAACCGTGAGTTTTGCCTGTAGACCACATCCACGGCTGGGGATTAGGTGGTCGAGGAAGTCTATCGCCCGCATGACCTGAACACCGCTGATCCCGATGTGTAGGAGTGACGGCATTTCAACAATGGAAACAGGCGTTACGTCGGTGGTTGGTGCTTCGACGGCTGTGAATGTGAGGAGCAAAGATTCCAATTGGCGCATCACTTTTACGGCGTCTAATAGGGATCCAAGGGGAATCATTCTGCGAGATGTTTCACGAAGGCATAAACGCCGCAAGTGGGCTAACCAGGTCGCGGAGGTGTCCAAGTGGAGCAAGAGATTTGACTCGAAGACCTGGAGCTGCGGGGCGTCGTTGCTGAAGAGTTGACCTTCTAAAACGACGGGATTGGGGTTCCAGGTGCGTGTATTGATCGTGAGGCTGAAGAATTGGAGATACTTGGCGGGCCAGTAGAGAGGTTCCCAGTCGGCCTTGGAAAACAGCTCCTCGCCAATAGTGATGTGGAAATGTTTGATACGCTTCCAATTCTCGAAGAGCAAGGAGACAACGAAAAGCTGCGAATCAGAGGATGAAAGTGCATCACCAGCCCGTCGAAGGACCTCGTCCCTTCCGGCAGCATCCAGACGCATGAGATAATCGACGTCGATGAGTCCTCCCCACAAGGATGGAGAGCGCAGGATGGCCGTCCGCCATGCATTGAAAATGTGGGATGTGGAAATTGTATTTCCTAGCGCTCTATCGCACCAGATTCGTCCGCCCGGGGTATTCCATTCGTCAGAATCGTTCAGTACCCCGGCATTCATCTTGAATATTAACCCCAAGATTTCGGGGTGAAGAGCATGGATCGACGTGTTTCCTAGGCAAGTCTTGTAAGTCATGGCTAGAATATATACCTGTTACTTACTTTCCATTGGGGATGTATTCGATGGGCCGCTTGAGAGGTATCGTTAACGAAGCTTGGCCATCTAAGGTGAGACAAAATGCGACAGGCTCCAATTCCGGCGTTCGTCCCGTCACGTGCACTTCATCTCGACGCGTTTAGGGGTAGATTCCCAGCTTTCCACGCAGACAACTACTTTACATCCGTTCAAGTAACAATAATTTCTAAATATAATCAATTTATTTTAACCATAATATTCCTCATAACGTTCGCCAATACCTCAGAACTTGGAACGGAAATGAGGGCACCCCGTCAAAACGAGACGCGACATGGAAAGAGTTACAGTGGCGACAGTTGGGGTCTAGGAAGAAGCAAAATCTGGGGGAAGACCTCAAGGGTCGAGAAATGGGGGAAATTCTACAGAGATTAAAATCGGGCTCATGTCCTATAGCTATTCCATAGGCAAGGAACCAATGTGTTCCTACGCGACTGCGTACATCCTACTTGAAGAGACTATCAAAATTATGATAGAGTACCAAGAGCCCCAGAATCAACGAATAAAACTAGATTTTAGATAACGTGAATGTTAGCCACAGTGGATGATTAACGCTGCGCAGAAAGGATACAGGAAACTCTTCAGTAGGTGGTGATGATAACGAGAACTAAATGAGAGGTTCAATAGGCATAGACTCACTCGAGAGGACTTGGCAAGAAATGGATGTATAAAAGTAAATCTCACAGCATGAGAATCGTCCATCGGCAATGGCTCATAGCCGACATCGAGGTCGACGAGAAGGAAGCAGGGTGTATCTCCGATGAGGGGAAGGCAAGTTCTTCGGAGAGCGAGGATCCTTGAATACAGTAGTGTAAAGCCAGCGATGCTCAGTGCCCCTGAAAATCATGACGAAATACACCCTGAGGAAGCAGGAGGAACTTGAAATGAGGGGCCCCACATCATCAGCCGTTGACCCCGAAGTAAAAGGGACCCCATACTTACGCACGGCAATAGGTGGGGCGATCCATACACGAGTTTCACGAATATTCAGAGCACCGAGGATCACAGATGAATGAAGAGGAGAGGATCGTGCGAGTGAAGAGCCTTTCCGCACGTACAAGCCTTAAATCTGTGCTTCGAGGCATGAGTTAGCAGGTGAGAAATATTATTCGTTCCAATATGGCGCAGAAGTCATCTGAGAGCTGACTGAATTCAGGTAAAAATAAATGGATCCCAATGAGTGAGGTTTCACGAAGCCTGAGAGCGAAGAGAACCCTGGACCAATTTACGTCCTGAAGGTAGGCGCGACGGAAGAGCGTTTCTAGGCCTCAGTTCTTCCTTACTGCGCCCCTTCGGGTAGCGTAGGGGGCGTAAACTCTCCTTTGGACAAATGATCAGCGCAGAAAGCTAAGAACGAATCATTCTTTTCAGGTTCTGCGACGTCCATGTCGTGGGCGGTGTACCTGTGTTTTCCGTGAACCTTAATACCGGTTGAGTGAGCGACCACGCGACCTCTGGTATATGATTTATATCATGTCCAAGAAGTTTGTCTTGAGACTATGCCACGAACTGAAAGAGAATTCGGGCCAATTGGACGAAGGAAGTACAGCAGTGTGTCCTCTGGGCGCCGAGAAAGTCAGGAATACTTCGATTTCGGCGCCGCGGCATCACTTCTTCATTCACCGTCCAAACGATCGCCGAATTGTCACTCAAATATTACTTCAAATAATTCACAATCGCACGGTGAATTATAAGCGCCCTGTCTGCATGATTGAACGTTCGGTAGACATGGAATCAGGCACTCGAAGCTCGTATATCCGGGTTCCATACTCGTCAAAATAACTAGCCATTGGGCCCACATGCGCAACGCTTACACGGGCTGCTTACTTTCGGACCCCGGTATTGCGCATGAAGAAGAACATCGAGCAGCACAGAACCTCGGATATTGTCCTCCATTGGTCGGCATCGTGCAAGCCCAGGCAATGAGGGGTAGCTGGAATAACCTCGCGGAAGCACGATAAAGTATGCGAGAAGTCGGGGCGTTTATAGAGGGGTCCTTTTGAAACATGCCTTCGAAACGTACTAGTCGCGAATGTAAGAGCTTGCGATACCGGTTAACAATGAGAGACATCCACGTGAGTACAGGACTTCATCGCGGCATATTTAAATTTTGATGGGCAGTGGGGCTGTCGTAAGAGTGTGGGAAATTTACTCTACAGCGAGGATCCGGAAGGAACTTCTGTGTCATGTTGTTGCACTCTAGATCATCGCCGTGTATCCTAAGCTCGAGCTGACTGGTCGACACAGAAACCCCTTAGAAAAGTGATTCTGATCCGCCTTGCGGGTCATTCCGCGTGCGCCACTTTCCTTCTAAAGACATTTTATCCGCAGCCACGACGGGATCAATTCGCTAATTAAATTCCCGTCTCGTGCCCTTAAATTTTAGGCGCTCTGGATCGCTGCACTTTCCACACGTACGGTCGGACTTATCCCAAGGAAAGCCTATCTGACCTCACACGATGACCACTGCTCCCGTACTTGTCTTTACATGGTTATATTGCTGGGAGTTACCGGTGTAGGTATTGTCCGGCGTCTATTGGATGAAAGGGGGGCCTGAACGCCTGTATCCATGAACCAATTCCACCGATGTGTTGACCGAGCACGGTTCGTGTTGGTTCTACCAAGTCCACGATCCTGCCTTGACAATTGGGTCCTTTCCCCGACTCGGAGCCGGAGCCAGAGCATGCCGATCCCAAGTCCCCATCCTTCAGTACGTGAAATGGTGACAGAATGTACCAGCGGCTCCGTTTTCCGGCTTTTGCATAATGAAATGCCAATGACACATTGTGTACTTATTGTGAGCCTTTACTATTGTCCGGCATTCAAACCAGCGGTCCGTAGAAGAGCAAGACAAAGGGGGCTCGGAGTGACCTCCATTCCTAGTATAAGCGAAACGAAGGACATCATATGCCGCGATAGTGAAGAGCAAGCTGCGTGCTGTCGCGCGTCTCAAAAAGAATGGAAGTCCGCAAAGCTGAGCAAGCGAGAGAGCACGAACGCCGAGTCTTAACAGAGCTACCTTAGACTAGACCGGTGGGACCGAGTACTCAGGGAAAGAAATTTCTTTCCACTTAAAGCGGTGTGATTCGTTGAAGTGAGAACTTATGTCTAGGTAGGTATTTGGAAATTCAATCCAAAACTTGACCAATTCATTAATCTCGTATCTGAACAACCTTCTCATCTCGAAGCTTCAAAGGGACCCCCGGAGTGAAGTCTAGTAAGCGCTGCTACGGAGCCAACTTGTTGTTCTGACCCCCTCTTTGACTTGATTCGCTCCGCTTGATGGTTTACGCTGCAAACCGGGTTGCTCATTACTTCAAGTGACGAACACACGGCGGCATTGGCGTCCTTTTAACTCATCTCCGTTAACCCTTAAGAGTTCACGTCATTTCGAAGGGCACCGTCATTTATACATGTTGCCGAATTTCCTGAAAAACGTCACTAATCACCGCCTTCCATGAGGCTCGGTAACGAACCTCCTCCATTGTATTCTGGTGCTGAGGCCCCCCGGGGGCAAGAGGTTTACCAACAGCAGGGCAAATCTGTAACTGGCGTCGGATGACACGACGGACTTGACGGAAATTCGCCGCGTCGCGTTGCATACAAGGAACGGCAGTAGCTTACGCGAGCGAACTATGTTTCTAATCCTACCTGCGAGTGTTGTAGGACTTGATACTCGGTGTCCCGCCGGGACCATTTCTGATTACCGGTGAAAGGAGATGTGCGAGAATGATGCAAGCTACATATGTATTGGCTGGCGTGTAGTACTTGCAAGAAAGAATTAACCCCATGTCGGTATCTTCCTTTGGGCCGGGTAATTTCTGGACTCAATTATACTCGCCGGGGCGAGAGAACATCAACGCCGCAGAGTCCCTCTTTTCATGTTGCCGGAGTCATATCTCCATTGTAGGTTATAGGGACCTGGTCAGCGACACTCTCTTAATTAATCACTCGCAAGAGAACTAAGTTTCGTGAGAGGAGGAGCTTGGGCGATACGGTTGAGATGTCCTTAGAGCTTCATCAGGACCTAAGTCCCCGGCGCTTAATTCCCGATCACCACCTGACGAATGCGGAATTCATGAACACTAAGTAGGAGTTCTCGAGATCCCATCCTTGAACTATTGTTTCATAAAGTAAGAGAAGGTGTGGCAGGTCGTGAATGATCTTGCGTGGGTACTTGTAAATGAGAACCTCCCTCACTTTCTTCACTTTGACATTAACCCTCTCTTATTACATATTTTCTCTCTGTTCAAAGGCGCGCAGGCATATGCTCTGACGGAAAAGCTGAGATAGACAGGTGATAATAAATATAGTCCACGATGACGAGAACGCACTTTGATGTTGAACGTCGACCTCCTAGCCACAAGTCACTCGACAGAAACGTTGTGGCCTACAGGGTGCGGACTATAGGCGGATCATCCTATCAAAGCTTGGCGGAAGGTCTCGAGAACAATTCGCCAACTCATGATCAACCTATGGCCTCGCTTACGGGGAATTTCTTCTGCTGCCTAGTGAATTTACCCCGACCTCTAGGCGTGGGAGAGTTAAAAGCATAGAGTCAGGCAATAGACGCCCGTAAGTAGCTCTGCAATCATGAATGATATGACGCGAATAGAATCGAGAGGTCAGTAACAGCTCTTCAATACGCATCAAGCTGTGTGTGATTCGAGGAAAGGGAAGGTGCCTAGACATCCAATGCACTTCTATCGGACACTGTATGTCAGCGTGGCAGCCTGATTCCCGATGCACATAAATCGCCCTTGGTGTATATCAAACGCTTAAACTCGCCTTAACGTCGAGGCACGCCCGGAGTCAAGAGAAATTTATTTGCGAGTTTGTGAAGCGGACTAGCTTTTCTAGACCCCGAGTAGTCACCCACAAAGAGAGTAAAGTGAGAACGACCATTAAGACCGTTAGAGAAGGAGAATGGCAACTAGCGGTTCGAACACCTGACACGAGAGGAGCATTTGGACGGCGACAGCGAGGAATGGGTAATTCTCGCAGGCTTCTCGCGCGGACAATTGAGCATATAAAGCGGCTCTAACCCTGATACTTCGCTTACCGTAACAAGGTGGAGAAAATCATACCCCTCGAGAATATTTAAAAGAACGGTGCAAAGAATGTTTGAACTCGCCTGTCTAGCCGAACTCTTCGAATCATGAAGCCATTGCTGTTCTTCGTCGCTCTCAGCACTAGCCTAGCACTGGCCAACCCGATCCCTCAATTTTGGACGGTGTGGCTGTAGCCTTCTGTTTTTCAGGAGACGAGCTGACATTTTCGATTTTTCAGACTCACTTTCCTGCCCCTGGCGGCACCGACGTTGATGCCGGGACTACCACCTGTATAGCTACCGATTGGGGAGTGCCCACTGAATCTCCTTCGGAAAGTCGTTCGACTACTGTAGAGCAGGCGACTTCCCGTCCCACCCTTTCTACCACGTACCACGAGTATACTTGCACCCCGTTCACCAAATCGGACACAAGCCGCGAGGTCACATCCACTTACCAAACGTAAACGCGGACGACAGTGGACCCAACGATTCCCACATACACCTCGAGAAGCACGACTACGGAGTCTGCAACTACGCGAGACCCAGAGTCGTCTTCAACCATAGCTCCAGATCCTTCTAGCACCGAAGTCGACCCAGGCACGACGACATGCATCACCTTCACTTGGCCTGGCGATCCTTCGTCGACCACGGAGACCACGGCTGTTCCTCCTACTTTTCCCACCGTTACCGAGCCGACCAACACGGCGACAAGGACCACATACACTGAGTCGGGAGCGTCTAGAGACGTCACTTCTGAGAACCCAACTATCACCGCCCCGACGATCGCCCCCACCCTTCCACCTTCCCACTCTGAGTCGCAAACCTCCGAGTCGAGGTATTCAACACGCAACGTTTCTTACACTACGGGATACACGCGCACCTTCAGCGATAACGACCCAAGCTACACACGATCCATTTCGTTCACCGCTGCCACCGATGCCAGACCTATGTCGCACGAGACCGGCACTGTCCGCACTCTCACCCTCAGCGGCTGAAGCTCAAGACCGGCGGTGCGTTCATTCTGCGTCGGGATGTCAACTTAAGATTCACCACAGCCAAAGTCCACATCCGTCCTTACTACTCCCTATAACATCCAAAGATACATTGTCTGTTACTAGTACAGTCTCTAGTTCTATATTGTAGATGTAGATTCATGAAGGTCACGGCAAGGAAACAGTCCAAAACGTTACAAGAGAAGAATTATCAAAAGAAATCTTAGTGTTCCGCAAAGCGTGATTTTTGGCGAAGCCTTGCTCCTATTCTACGGAATATAAATCTGTACAGCAATGTGTTAACTTCAAGCGTGGATCAGAAAATAGCTAGACGAACGGGAGCGGGGCGAGCAGGGTTGTTATTCCTGCGAGGAGGGCGGTGGCGCCGGCGGTTCCTAATTTATCATACATGGCACCGACGAAAAGTGGGAAAGCTGCCGCGAAACTTGAACGCATCGCACTATTCGCAGCCATGGCGGAGGCGGCGATTGGGCGATACGCCGTAACGAGGTAGGTGAACGTCGAGGTAAACACGTAGTAGATCCCCGCCCCAAATGGGATGGACGCGATGATGGGAACGATCCAGGGGACACTCTGATAAGTAGTAAACGCGATCCAGTACAGGCCTTACCGACAAAGACGTTGAGTTTCGACTCGCGCGTAAGAAGAAACGGGGACGCACTTAATGGAACCAAAATTCCACCGATTTCTCCCATCACAAGGCGGGTTTCGGGGGGTATGATTCCTTTATTTTCAGCGGCAGCTCGGTGATACATGCTGCTGGAAGTAAGAATACAGAATTAAAGCAAAGAATGAGGCTCACAGATTGAATAGATGTTGGGTGAAGATTGCCATGAGCATGCCGACGCCGATTCCCAAGAACGTCATTCCGGTCTCTTGCATGTTGAAGCCGTGTACGCGGCCGAAGATGTATGGGAACGCTTGAAATGAGAGATAGAGGATGCCGAGAACTACGGACGTCCTGGGGAGGTGGACCATCAGAAAAGGTGGCACTCACAGGTCCACAGGAGGCGTACCAGATATCCAGGAGAAGAGCCATACGGTCGTAAATGAGTAATTCTACAAATTTGTTCGTGAATTAGAGAATTTAGGGAAAATTTGAACCGAGTGACGCTCACCGAAAGGCTTTAGACAGCTTATCGCGATGGATTCTGCTATATCTTTAACCTCACGCTCCAAGGGTGCCCAATACCTTTGATTCCCGCTGAATTTTCGGAGGCTGGGACTAATTTAGCTAGAACGAATGGGACTTCCCGAGGAAGAACGTACTTCTCAGCCTTTTCTTTGCGCAAGGCCGGAACAAAGGTCTCCGGGACGAGCTAGTCGAGATGAAGGATGCCGCGAGGAAATGAGAACTTGATGGAATCAGAGAGATGGAGCTACTCACGAGAATCAAGGCGATGAATTCAGTGAACGTCCATATGATGAGGATGTGATAGGTCCATCTCCAGTGCAGATGCTGCGACGGCGGGGTCAGCAACAACATCACGACCTGTGATAGGTACTCACCTGGTTGACAAATCTAGAAAACGATAATCGTCAGTTCAGGGTCATTTGAGTTATATCTTTGGCTCACCCTCCGATCAGGGGACCTAAGACGGGGCCGATGAAGGGGCATATGGTGTAGAAGGCCATAGGGCTGCGAAACCATTCGTCAGTGCGAAGACACGATGAAAGGTACTGACACGTACTTCGCGACCGTTTCATCGTCGAACATATCCGTTATGCTTCCGCCCGCGACGCTGAGAAACGCCGAGCCGCAGAAGCCAGTTATGAACCGAAATATGAGGTGGACGACTGTAGAAATTCCGTCGACTGAGTTCAACTTAATACCAAAAGGTAAAAATGGGAGTCGTACCGATATTTGGAGAGAAGGCTACCGGGAAATTGCACACGAGAAATAGGGAGTAAGAAACACGATAAACCGTATTTCGCCCATATACCTCCGACAACGGCCCGATGAGGAGTGGCCCGAGGCCCAGTCCTTCGATGAAGAAGCTAATCGACAGAATGGAGACGATTTTGCTGACGTGAAAGTCTCTCATGAGACCTTCTTCCGTGAATGCAGCCTGTACAGGGATGAGTATCTGCGTGGATAAGAAGAGAGATAAGACATACAACCGACGAGGCGCAGCAAACACAGAGAGCAGCTGTACTGATGACGACGACTGCGATCCATTTTCGTAGTGTCGAGAGGTTTTTTGGATCCTCTCTTTCGTCCAGATAGACCTCGAAAGAATCCTTATTCGGTGTCGTATCGATGATTTTCTCCGCGTCCTTCCTGAGGGTTTGGAGTACAGCCGTCGTGGATGATGATGCTGACATTTCGGGTGAGGTTGTCGAGGGAGGGTGCCCTTTGAACCTATGAAATGCGAAGCGAGGGTGTTATAGATGGTGGTAAGAGGCAAGGTGCGTCCCCCATGAGACGGCGCACCCCTTCCTTGCCCCACGGTGTCGAGACATAATCGATGAGACAAAGATCCTGGCTATTTCTAAGCACGCACCTTTTCTTCTCTTTGGTCCCCATTCCAACCCGTGCCGCAGCTGCCGACGGCATTCGACGGAATCTAGCCGCCCTTCATAAGGAAATGATTTCACAACGTACCGACGAAACGCGGTCGGGAAGTGCTCCGAAGGGCGTCCAGCACGTTGGCCTCGACGGATAGCGGGTCCTTGATGGTTATCTATGACGTATAGGCGCGCGAAGACCACGGCGCTCGTTACGTTTCGATGAAATCGAGTCATTTTATGAAATGTAGGCGCTTCGAGGCTTCATAATTCGAGGCTTCATAATTCGAGGCTTCATAATATGGACAAGTCCGAAGACCATCAAAGGCGCCTTCGGCGAACTTGCAGCATCCTGAGAGTTTTGAGCGACTTTCTGAAAGAATTGGATTTGCTATCAGGAGGCAAAGCAGGCTTCTGATGTGAAGATCATACCGCCAATCCCACCTATAGAGCGGGTTTTATACAATACGCCGAGCGGCAATGACTTTTGGGGCGTAACTGAGCGTCACTGCACGACACAAATGAATGTGGGGGTAAGTATGGAAATAAGAAAACGTGTCATTCCGCGAAGGTACCACTTTGATATGCCGGAAAGTGTGCGAGATCGGCGTTCGGATCCGAGCTTCTGACTAGCATGGCTAGGACGAATACTATTGGCCAGCAGAGTTCAGCTAGTTATACACCCGCGAACGAAGTTCGAGCTCCCTTGGAGCAAGATATAATTAAAACTTAATAAAGGCGACCTTGAGACCCGTATTTATCGAGAAGCGAACTATCGGGACTCACCACGTCGCATCTATCTCAGTCTATCAGAGTCTATCGCGACCTGTGAGACAGAGAAGACGCGGAGACCTGGATCGGAGGCGGCCGCGAGTCGCACTTGTGCGGGTGCGCTAGGACTTTCACACCGGTTTCTCGAGACTGACCGGTGTAGGCTGTTTGTAGCTATGGATGCCTCTTACGTTGACACATGGGGCCTCGAAAGCGTCGAACCAAGAGGTTTCACACCTCTTTCCACGGCGACTTCAGAATGCCTCTCGGCACGACCGGGTCGGTTATGCGACAAAACACTTCAATCTGGCCCCAATCCTTCGTCAATTCAGAGTTGAGAACGAAGCTTCAGTGCTCTGATCACGCACATAGACCGGTTATCCAGCCACAACCGCACGAATAGGGAGGCGTAGGAAGCTCTTCACACTAAATTATAACCTGAGATTGCGAAGGTTGAGTTAGATCCCTCTCTGAGCAGTGAACAATTGAATACTTGCCTTCCACCCCGTTGGCGACAAGATGGCTCGCGACGGGGTCATCATAATGCCGCCAGGTTGCGACCTTCAGGTTTATTACGTGTTAGAACCACTGAAGCGGATGCTCACTTGCTTAGTTTCGTTTGGATTTGTACAGCAAAGATCGTTGAAGACGAGTAAGCGCTGAGAAGTGATGTTAAAGTGAGGCGGCGCGGAAGTAGCCGGCGGAGATCTGTCGGCGTTTGAAATATACGTTTGCCGAAACGACGGCATTGCCCTCCACAAATGGGGACAACGGAGGATTGAGGCTATTCTCTCTCACACACCTACAAGTTCGACGTTGCACCATGGAAGACGGGTAGAGTTGCCCTCTTCGTTGCGGCTCGTTGACGACTTGTAAGTCTAGAGTCCTCAAAAATTTCGTCTAGCAACCCTCTCCCTAGGCGTTTATCCGGTCATTTTCATCATCAGAAGTTCCTTTTCATGAAGGTCGTATCACCGCACTTCCACGCAGGGGAACCCCGCAGCGTGCATTTTCCCCTCCACGTGGGCGTGGCTCGGGCGCAGACCCGTTTTCGCATTTGATGAAAGACGCCGTGCGGCCGTCTCTTCTCTCCGAATCATGTGTAAGTTGCGTTATAACTTCCTTCTTCCCATGATAAAAGTGACCGACGGTGTTTTCACGCAGGGTTCTGCTGGCGCGGCTCCTTCATCCTGTAGCGCGTGCAAGGGCGTATGTATTTTCGGTTCTGCGGGAGAGCTTCTGATAAAGACTGAGTCTAGCCCACAGACACGGCTCACATCGTTAGAGAAGTATCCAAACGTCATTGCGGCGTGTCATGGGAATTCGTCGAGGGATAGCGAGAGAAAGCGACGAGACAACGAAAGAGAAGGGATCTAGGGGATATTATGAGGGTGTATCGTATGTCCTTCTACTCTATCAAAACTTCCAGTACTCAATACTAGCAGCTGCCCGCTCGAACGGAAATTCGCCTCCCCAAGACTTCACGTCGGATATGCTCTCGCTCACTGCGTTTCTCAAGTCGTTCTTTGCTTCCCTCGCGGACGAGAAGTCGGTTACACGGCCAGCTTCGATCTCCTCTTTCGAGCTCTATGGATGGCTTGATCAGGACGGGAAATTTGCATGAAGAACGAGAGTCATTCTCTAACCTGGATAGCCTGACCAATGTCGGCATCGATGACGGCGAGGATGTCCGCCATATCACCATCCTCTTCCCACCGAAGGCCCACCGTCGCTCGCACTATCGACGCCAGCAGCCCCAAGCTAGCAAACCCCATTCCGGCTCCGTAGAGGGATCTCGCACGAGTTAGGACGTCTTGCAGGTGAGGTAGTGGTTCTGACCCAGTGTCGCGTGTTGCCTTACTGAAGAAGGCGTAGGTGCTGACTTTTGAGCTCGTTTGGCGTAACCGTGAACGTGCTGCGTTCGTAAATGCGGATACGATGCCTGGAGGACCCGTGGCGAGTAGGGTTCGTGTGATGGCGCGTAGACTATGGTACGTTTCAGCTTACTGGTCTCCAAATTCGAAGCTCACTTACTCGTCAGCAGAGGCGTTGGCGATGAAAGTGTCTACCATGAGATTCCTACGAGGGCCGTCAGCCATTCTCCTTCGGTGAGTGCCATGATAACTTACACATGGCCAAGTGCTGGACGCGAGTCGAATTGTCGATGTCCAGTCTCTGGGGCAGGCATGGTTTCGTGTCGCGAGAGATGTTGAGTGTGAGTGGAGCGTGCGTCGCGGTCGTAGTCAAACGTCGAGTTGAGCACGAGAAAGAATACTTATTCTCATATCCTACGAGGATTATATAGCTCCCTTGAACTGAATCAGAAGTGAACGCACCAGGGGCCAAAATTCGAGATTCATCGACTGCCGAAAGATCAATTCTGATTCCGCGGGACTGTTCCGGCATATTTTCTCGTAGCCGCCAAACTTTCGGACAAAGATTCTAAGATTGACGAGAATCCATCCGGGGTCGATTAATCGGGGGGACGAGCGACGGGCGAACATCTAATCTCGAGACCGGTTCGATACGACCCTGACATCACAAATCATAAAGTCTGTTTCCAACGCGGTCACGATTCCTTCTGCTTCGTTTCACACCGGTTTCTTTCCATTCCTTCTTCGAACGGCTCTAAATATGTTCGCCGTTATGAGTTCTGTCGAGTCTTATAAAGAGCTAGCTTCCTTAGGCTCGACCGCTCCTTCATCCCGAACTCCAGCCTCCGTCGAGTCCAGAAATGTCGCCGTCGAACCGCCCCTTCGAAACCTTCGAGATTGGTCCCTTCGTCGCACCGCGTATCTGGACAGGCCTATGGCAACTCTCAAGCAACGCCTGGGGGAGTGCAAGCGTGCCCAAGATCCGGCAAGGCATGGCTCGCCACGTCGACATGGGCTATACGGCCTTCGGTGAGCTTCTCAGTGTCTGCGTGCTGGTATCATTTTTGTCTCAAGACGAGTTCCATAGATATGGTACGACTATTCCTATTATATCCCCACTTTTTCTTATGGACCGCGAAATTTATCCCGCGATTAGGGTGAGCATACGGAACGACTCTCTTCTTGTCAAATTGAAACTCATGCATTGCTCTAGCCGATCATTATGGGAGCGCTGAGATCGTCTTCGTGAGTGCTCGCGGCGTTGACAGATATTCGTCGGGTGCAAACTCTTCTTTCACGCGTACGTAGGGCCAGTTTCGAGAATCGTCTCCCTCCAAGGAGAGCATCATCGGCGCGACCAAGTGGTGCGCGTTCAAGCGCATCAACCCGTCGCGCTCGGTTGTTGAGGCAGCTGTTCGAGAGCGCATGGAGCGTATGAGAACGGATCGCGTTGATTTGTTGCAGGTATGTCTTCCAAAGATGGTTTTTCGCGACAGTTCCCGTATTTCGTCTGCAGTTCCACTGGCAAGATTACTCGGACCAGAATTACATGGTCGCATTGAATCACCTTCTGGACCTTCACTTCGAGGGTGTCATAGCGTCCATTGGCCTGGTTAACTTCGACACGATTAGAACCGACCAGATATGCACTCAGCTCGGTCCTGGTGCTATCGTCTCGAACCAAATTCAGGTGAGTGGAGGTTCTCATTTCTCCCGAGGTTAAGCACTGACGTCTATTCATTTCGAACAGTTTTCGTTAATTGACACTCGCCCGCTTCATGGCATGGCGGACATATGCGAGAAGCACGGCCTCAAGTTGTTGACGTACGGAACTCTGGTAAGTGGAGCTCATTACTTGTTTCTCCTGCTAAACAAACGTATCGCGTCAGTGCGGAGGCTTTCTCACAGACAAATGGTTAGGAGAACACGAGCCATCATTTTACTCCAATGACCTCACACCGTCGCAACGAAAAGTAAGTCCGTAATACCAGGAATAGCTTCAGGGGTCCGTCTGACGCGTTCTCGTTAGTATTTAGACGTGATTCTCAGAGCATGGGGATCTTGGGAGCTCTTCCAATCTCTCCTAATCGTGCTACGTCGAATTGGGGATCGCCATGGGCGCAGTATCGCAAATATCGCGACGCGTTGGGTGCTGGACCACCCTTTCGTTGGCGCAGTGCTCATAGGTAGGCGATCATCACTTGTTTTCAGCGCTTCGTAACTGATTTGCCCTCGTTAGGGGCGCGCTTGGGTCTCGCGGAACACCCAGACGAGAACGAGAAGGCGTTTGGATTCCATTTGAGTGCCCAAGACGAAGCTGAGATAGAAGCTGTCCTGGATCGTTCTAACGGTCGGACCATGATCACGTCTATAGGTGATTGCGGGGCGGAATATAGACAGTAGAGGCGGATTCGCTTCGTCAAGGGAAGGCGGTTCGAACTGGTTCGGCTCCCTCCCCAGACGTCTATTTCGGAAATGGCTTTTGTCTTTTTGAATGCCGACCGCATCACCCGTAAGTACAACTACAATAGGAAAATCTGAAGGGGATGATCCACTTTCTAAATAAAGTAAAATACTAATGGAATCAATGCAGCTTAACACTCACCCCGCCGAGAAGGCCGTGGTCAAGTTTCGAAGTTCTGCATCATCGCGCACTTTAATCGTGCTCGTTGAGAGAAAAAGCCCTCGGACGCTTCAGCTACAACCTTATCAAGTGGCTTCCAATCCGAGCCTCAGGTAGGACGAGTGAGTACGCTACCTTCTAGAAGACCATTACGCGACCAAGTCACAGAAGGAGTTATGTGGTGGTCCTCCTTTTTGTCCACCACCGCGGCCACCGCATGCGCGGGGTAGAGTAGAGGTAAAAATAGTATTGTTCTTGAATATAACTGACGTGCTCAACAGTACAACGAAACAGCAGGACATCCGGAATAGTGGTTTCACGTTGCTCTTCAGCGGTTAGGTGAATCTAAGTGAGTTTCCTGACGGTCCCACGGAACCAGAGGGTCCGTCACGATCATTGAAAGCGTATCCCATCTCGAACGCTCTCTACGTAGGTTGGCCAAAGGTTAGCTTTCCAGAACACTATTTTAAATTGACGAGAAGAAGTACGCAACACGGGTAAAGCTCCAACCATACACGAGGAGCGAGGTGTTCTGGGAGGACTGGAACGTAGACTCCGAGCCTCTTCCTCGAACGAGTTCGGCCTTTCTACATCACAGGAAGCGACACTATCATTCATTCCCGGGATTGAAGGATGACCCGCTCCAGTCCACGCCACTGGGCGAGACGTCAAGACAGAAAATTTCTCCCCACAGTGAGAACTGCACGTGGGAGATACTCTTGACTTATCGCCCACGAGAATTTTACACCTCCTCGCGGAATTCCACGGTACGCTGCAATACAACTGCGTGGATGTCATGGACGGCTACTTCTCGAATGTGAATCTCTAGTATATTTGACGTACCCATTCGGTTACAGCTCTGTTTCTCAAGATTGTATGCCGGTGTGACCGAGCTCATGGGAGATAATTTACTAAGCTAGCCAGTAAGAATTTTCTCAGTCTGGATAGTCCAGCTCCCAGGGCAGAGCGGTAGGAAGGACTTCGAAGATTCGATTGGTGGGATGATTGCGAAGACTATACGCATGAAATGATCCCCGCCTCGATGTACCTACAGCTCGGCCAATATTTAAATGCCTGAGGTCTTTAACCTGCTGGAGAGTCGGCGAGTGTCTTGAAAGTGAGGTAAACGCCTTGTGTTACGGACATCGGCTATCATAACTACCATGGCGCAGTGACGTGTGACACAAGCACCGTTTGAACCGCAAGGTCGAAAGGGTCATCACACCTCGAGAAAGGCACCCAATTGAAGAGCACGTAACGTCATGGAGAACCCATAATTAATCTATACGTGGATGCGAAGGATTGAAACTCACTCATGGGTCGTTCGGGGTAGATCCTATCGCCCTGGAGCATGCGGAGCCAATTAGAAAGAACTGGGGTCGTGCAAGCATCCTCGAAGATGTCATAAGTGGGAATTAGCCGGCCGATATGCATTCAGTAATAACACATGTACGTGGTTTAAGACTACCAAGAAACGAGCATACACACGATCTCCCCTGGGTTCACGGATCGTGGTCTAAGGCCCAACGGAATGCTACAAAATCTATTTAAATAAATACCTAAAGCATTCTGTATGTTTTCCAGACCGAGTTACAGATATCACCACCGTAGGGAAGATGGCGCAAGAGTCTGTCGGTGAGGTCACATTCCCGTTCGGACATCAAACTATCACCGACCACTCCCAGAGAGTCAGATAAAGAATTGGTCGAAGGTCTTCGACGGAGTGACCTAGAGACATAGACGACGTGAGACTTCGAGTCTTGTCTCCCATCGCGCGGTCATTCGCTGGTACCGCCTTTGCGTCCATGAGCATCTAGGAGCTTTAAAAGGTGGACATTACACATGGTGTTGAGAACGACCGGATATAAGTATGAGAGGTCGGGCAGGCAGACGGATAATCGGGTCGAGGCCAGCAACACTCTCGAGGGAGCAATGGGTATCCTCGCGATTCGGCGGAATTTTTGAGACGCGTGTCAACAACTGTATTGTCGCCTTCGATTTTCAGCCGTAGCAGCGAACCTGTGAGAATGCAGCGGCCGTTCCAGCAGCTAGGCGGGGAATGAAACGGCATGTATGAAAGAGGTAGGATGCAAGGCCTACTGAGTAATTCTCGTTTTTAAGGAGCTTCAATCGACAACGTCGTCGGTGATTGGACATCAGAATGGAATGCAAGAGGTTCCGGGCCTGGAGCTGTCCATGCGATATCTACCGGTGTCGTTATTCAGTAGGCAGCGTAGTACATACGCCAGAAACCCCTACCCTAGAATGGATGAACGACCTCGAAAATTCGCGAATCATCGCTCGTGTAATTGTAACAGGAAGCACATATGGATTGTCTCCATCCGAATGGAATGCGCGTTACGTTCAGTAATAAGCTTTACATACTGTATATTGGTGCGCTTTATCTAGACCCTACGAGACGGAAGGAGGAAGGGACGGCGCCCGCGGCTTGAGGTGATCTACAGAATAATTTTGTAATTTATAATGAAACCCACATGGGAGACTCGGATTACCGGCCAGGGGTCCATTGTCAGAGTAACGTCCCGGAAGATTTGCTAGCTAATAATATAAATGGCCCAGTAGGGCCCTACTGGAGTCAATCTGTCAATTTTTCAGCAATAAATAGGAGACATGTCTCCTAATTATTGGTCAATAGGGTGTCAATCTGTCCTGAAAATTGACGAAGATGGTGATTTGTGCTGTCAATCTGTCATGCTGGAATAATTAAAGTCAGATAGGGTATTTTGACAAGTCAATCTGTCATTCTGCAGTAATTAAGGACACTCTGTCTATATTGTTGGTGTCAGTCTGTGCATGAAAATAATTTAGAAACATGTCCGTTAATTACTGACTGTCCAACAAGGTGTTGAAACGTTGTAGAAGGCTCTGTAATTAGTGAACATGTCTCTTAATTACTGACCGAGAAAAGGGTATTGATGCGCTATATTATATTTACAGTCAACGGTCATGCTGGAATAAATCTTGTACTCTAGGAATCATTTTTGACATTGGGAAATTGGAATTTGAAAGGATAAAAGTTGTTGGGCATACTCAGTAATTGAGAGCTATGTCTACTAATTAGATGGGCTTGACAGATTGACAGCGACATTACATCAAAAGCAACCCTAGCTCTATTCCGTTGCCCGCGCTCGACCTGAATGGTCCCACGGTGCTGGCCGCCTGTTTCCGTGACCGTGGTTAGGGTTAGGGTTAGGGTTAGGGTTAGGGTTAGGGTTAGGGTTAGGGTTAGGGTTAGGGTTAGGGTTAGGGTTAGGGTTT